GTATAACAGGCTGTTATCATTGGCTATAGAGCTTATGAAGCAAGAGTTTTGAAGAGGAGAAAGCCTCAGAAAGGCACTTATGTTGACACGGAAGCCATTACAAATTAATGGCGTCATTGCAATTTGACCCTTGACTACCCTATCTAAACTTGACGAATGTTCCAGGCAAAGTTTAAGTTATCCTGTCTTTTTTTGTACCATTGGGTTGTAAAAATGTTGTGCTATCACAAATTATGCTCACATTTTGTCAAAACTTTATATATTTTTTGTTATAACTATACAAAAAATTGAAATTTATTGAGTGAAATTTTACATATAAAATGAATGGGAAAATGGCGACGTCTGAATCTGACTACCCCTCAATCAAACAGGAAATGTTCCACACAAAGTTTCTCCAATCTAGATGAAACTCAGCAAGAACACCAGTATAATGTTTAGGAATAGCCACATATGCTCACATTTTGATAGTTTGTCTTGTAAGGAGAGATATAGGATAAGCCCATTGCTGCCCTGTATAAATGAATTTAATAATATACGGAGAAAATTGCTTTGTATACTAATCCGTATCCACTCATTTCTGGACATGCTATTTCTTAGCAAAACATTCTGCCACGAGGAATAGTTATAAGACAACAACTATCTTGTAAAGACACCTTTTAAGTACGACATACCAAAATTTCATGATTGTAATCCAAAGAATACTGAAGTTACAATTTTTTAAATTATTAAGTGTAATTAAATTGATTAAAATTTATTACTATAAAAATTGTAATAAATCATGATATCTCTAGCCAGGAAGAAAATAATTGGAATCAATGTCTATATCCTCACAATAACCTTGATCTATAATGCCAAAATAGCCAACCAGGTGCTTAACACAGTTCAAATGAGTACAAATATGAGTCAAAATTGTGGCCATCATGAAAGCTCAAGATACCTGCCAAATACAGGTATAAAGTAAGTTAAAAACCATTGCATTAACTATAATTTACATATATAAGAAGAATTACAAGCTAAACTCATGGATACAACAGTGATAGCTACTAGCGGGACCTTTTATTTCGTAGAAAAACGTTCTGCTTCCTCCTAGAGCAATGAAACTTCTGCAGAATAACAGGCATCTATAATACTAATAGCTACCTTGTAACTGTGAATGCATTAGCTCTATTTCACAAGTTATAGACTTTAATATGATTTTTGTGTCAGCCATTTTAAATCCTTACAGTGGAAACAAGCGCCTGAAACAAAAACAGTTCTTGATTATAAATGTAGAAGATCAATTATCTACATCTTTATCCAATGCTAAAGGTGCAGAGAACAGCAAAGCAACTGTAGACTCCTTAGTTTTGACATAAATCATCAAAATAGGCAAGAGACACTACCAGAGCAAAAGCCAGCCATTTTGACAAAAACGTCACTTCCGGTTAGAAAGAGGAAATCAGGCTTGGCCAGCGCCACCCGACTGATCTCGCCTCGCCGTTGTTGTTCAGTATTAATCTTGTTCTGAGGCTCTTGCTTTGAAGCAGCTACTTTTAATAGAACTATGGCCACTAATCAAACCTGTTTAGGTAAAGTTGATTGATGTCAGTGAAATCCGCCATTTTACTTTTTACCTAGATATTGGTGACTTGGATTATGTTCTTTGTTTATTGGAGAAATGTTGCTTCCCAGAAACAAAATGGTATAAGTTGGACTGAGA